TGTGGGTCCATGGCTGGTCTATGGGTCCCTGTGAATGTGGGTCCACGGCTGGTCTAGGGGTCTCTGTGAATGTGGGTCAGTGGCTGGTCTAGGGGTCTCTGTGAATGTGGGTCCATGGCTGGTCTAGGGGGTCTCTGTGAATGTGGGTCAGTGGCTGGTCTAGGGGTCTCTGTGAATGTGGGTCAGTGTCTGGTCTAGGGGTCTCTGTGAATGTGGGTCCATGGCTGGTCTATGGGTCCCTGTGAATGTGGGTCCACGGCTGGTCTAGGGGTCTCTGTGAATGTAGGTCCATGGCTGGTCTAGGGGTCTCTGTGAATGTGGGTCCATGGCTGGTCTAGGGGTCTCTGTGAATGTGGGTCAGTGGCTGGTCTAGGGGTCTCTGTGAATGTAGGTCCATGGCTGGTCTAGGGGTCTCTGTGAATGTGGGTCCACGGCTGGTCTACGGGTCTCTGTGAATGTGGGTCAGTGTCTGGTCTAGGGGTCTCTGTGAATGTGGGTCCAGTGTCTGGTCTAGGGGTCTCTGTGAATGTGGGTCCAGTGGCTGATCTAGGGGTCCCTGTGAATGTGGGTCCACAGCTGGTCTAGGGGGTCTCTGTGAATGTGGGTCCATGGCTGGTCTAGGGGTCCCTGTGAATGTGGGTCCAGTGGCTGGTCTAAGGGTCTCAGTGAATGTGGGTCAGTGGCTGGTCTAGGGGTCTCTGTGAATGTGGGTCCACGGCTGGTCTAGGGGTCTCTGTGAATGTGGGTCTAGTGGCTGGTCTAGGGGTCTCTGTGAATGTGGGTCCACGGCTGGTCTACGGGTCTCTGTGAATGTGGGTCAATGTCTGGTCTAGGGGTCTCTGTGAATGTGGGTCCAGTGTCTGGTCTAGGGGTCTCTGTGAATGTGGGTCCAGTGGCTGGTCTAGGGGTCTCTGTGAATGTGGGTCCACGTCTGGTCTAGGGGTCTCTGTGAATGTGGGTCAGTGGCTGGTCTAGGGGTCTCTGTGAATGTGGGTCCAGTGGCTGGTCTAAGGGTCTCAGTGAATGTGGGTCAGTGTCTGGTCTAGGGGTCTCTGTGAATGTGGGTCCACGGCTGGTCTAGGGATCTCTGTGAATGTGGGTCTAGTGGCTGGTCTAGGGGGTCTCTGTGAATGTGGGTCCGCGGCTGGTCTAGGGGTCTCTGTGAATGTGGGTCAGTGGCTGGTCTGGGGGTTTCTGTGAATGTGGGTCCAGTGGCTGATCTAGGGGTCCCTGTGAATGTGGGCCCAGTGGCTGGTCTAGGGGTCTCTGTGAATGTGGGTTCACGGCTGGTCTAGGGGTCTCAGTGAATGTGGGTCTAGTGGCTGGTCTAGGGGGTCTCTGTGAATGTGGGTCCATGGCTGGTCTAGGGGTCTCTGTGAATGTGGGTCCATGGCTGGTGTAGGGATCTCTGTGAATGTGGGTCAGTGGCTGGTCTAGGGGTCTCTGTGAATGTGGGTCCATGGCTGGTCTAGGGGTCTCTGTGAATGTGGGTCAAGTGCCTGGCCCACAGGGCTCAGTAGAAGTTGGTGTTGTGAGGCCTCCTGTTCTAAGCCTGGAGCTTTCTAGTGCTGGCCATGTCTGTGTGTGTCCCAGGCCTCATTGGGAGAATCCCTGCTCGTCCTGCTCAGGTGCAGTCCCTCTGGAGGGCATACATGGGCCGTGTGATCAGGACCCTTGCTCCTGGAGGAGAGGCTCCTCTCCTCCGGTGCAGATAGCTTAGAGGTCACAGATTCTTCTCCAAGCAATGACAACACTTGCCAACGCTCTCACGTAATCTCCGTGCTTGCCTTATAAAATACTGTCACATCGTCACTTGATCAGGGACGCTGCCCCTCCTGCTGCCTCCCGAGTCCACTGGTCTTATTAATTTACTCTTAGAGGACACGGGGGCTTATTTGTATATTTTGTACTAATCTCTCTGCAATCATGGAGCTGTCATTTCTGTCTTTCTCAGTGGCAATTGGATGTCAAGAATGATGGATCCACTCAGTTTGTTAGCTGACTTTAAATTGTTTACCACTGGGGGGAGGAATACTACAAAAAAGCTTAAAGCTAGGCATCCCTCACTCGGGCCTGTAATCCTAGCTACTTAGGAGGCTGAAATCTGCGGTTCAAGGTTTGAAGCCAGCCTAGGCAGAAAACTCTGTGAGACTGTTATCTCCAGTTAACCAGCAAAAGACCAAGTGGTAGAGTGAAAGTCAAGTAAGAGTGCAAGGCCCTGGATCAAGCTTCAGTACCAGCATCAAAATAAATAAAAGCAGTTTGGAATTTCCCTTTCACTTAAAAAAAAAATAAAGTCCTTATTCCGTCCTCTGAGGAGGGGCCAGCTCTGGACCCTGACCACAGCTGCCCTTGTCCACCACAAACACCACTGCCACACAGCTCTGGGTCCCTGTACTGGCTGCTTTTCTGGGCCAGACAGAGCAGGAATGCCTAATTTCATCTCATTTAAAAAAAACTTTTAGGCTGAGTGCCAGTGGCTCATGCCCGTCATCCTAGCTACTCAAGAAGTTGCTGGGATGTAGCTCAGTAGCAAAGCACTTGCCTAGCAAATGCAACATCCTGGGTTTGATCCCCAGTACCAAAAGAGAAAAGACAAAAAAAAAAAAAAAAAAGTTTAAAAAAAAAAAAAAACCTAGCTACTCAAGATGTTGAGATCTGAGGATCTTGGTGCCAAGCCAACCCAGGCAGGAAAGTCCATGAGATTCTTATCTCCCGTTAACCACAGAAAACCTAATGTGGCACTGTGGCTCAAATTGTAGAGTGCTAGCCTTGAGCTGAAGAGCTCAGGGACAATGCCCAGGCCCAGAGTTCAAGCCCCATGACCGACAAAAAACTTAAAGACTCCTCCATATCAAAAAAAAAAAAAAAAAAAACATTTTTATAGCCAGTGGCCCAGTGGCTCACACCTGCAATCCTAGCAGAGAATCATGGTTCAAAGCCATCCCAAGGCAGAAAAATCTATGAGACTGTTTTCTCCAATTAGCTACCAAAAAGCCAGAAGTGGAACTGTGGCTCAAGCAGTAGAGCACTAGCCTCAAACAACAACAACAAAAAAAAAAAAGCTCAGAGATAGCACCTAGGTCCCGAGTTCAAGCCCCAAGACCAGCACAAAACATAAAAACATAAGCAATCACTTTTCTGTTTTCTATGAAACCCACAGGTGGGAGGAGCTGGTGGCCGGGGAGATGCTAAAGGGAAGTCTTCGCTATGAAGAGCACAGTCTTTACTATTTCAGGGCAGGCAACTATAAAGGTGAACACGAGGGAAAGAAGCTTTATCAAATGTTACACAGAGAATCTTTTTCTAGCACCTAGACTAGTAATTAAATCACGCAGATGACGACGAATCACTTAAAACACCCATCCCGCCCTGCGATGGCTTCACACCCCACATTTCATGCACACTCAGTCCTCTATCCACGGCTTTTACAGCCGGATGTGACACTGGCTGTTTGCTTCAGAACTTGCCAGGCGTTCGCGACACTTGCAAAAGCACACACACACAAGAGCGCAGGAGTGTGGCACCGGTGCGCTGGCTCATCCCGCCTTGAAGTTTAAAGAGCTGCGTGTGGGAACGGGGAGGGGGGGGGGAGGGCTGGCAACCTGGCTGCTTAATTCATGTTTGAGAAACAGGGAAGTGTGCGGGGCACTCAGCAGCGTGAGTCTCCACTGCCCCGACTGCGACTCACAGGGAAGCATGTGGCCCTGCGGGTCTGCCATGGCCCCACGGGTCTGCCGTGGCCCCAATGGTCTGCCGTGCCCCCAACAGTCTGCGGTGGCCCCGCGGATCTGCCTTGGCCCCACAGGTCTGCCGTGGCCCTGTGGGTCTGCCGTGGCCCCGAGGGTCTGCCACGGCCCCGCGGATCTTCCGTGGCCCTGTGGGTCTGCCGTGGCTCTGTGGGTCTGCCGTGGCCCCGCGGGTCTGCCGTGGCCCCGCGGGTCTGCCGTGGCCCCACAGGTCTGCCATGGCCCCTTGGGTCTGCCGTGGCCCTGCGGGTCTGCTGTGCCTCCGAGGGTCTGCCATGGCCCCGCGGGTCTGCCGTGGCCCCACAGGTCTGCCGTGGCCCTGAGGGTCTGCCGTGGCCCTGAGGGTCTGCCGTGGCCCTGTGGGTCTTCCGTGGCCCTGAGGGTCTGCCGTGGCCCTGACGGTCTGCCGTGGCCCCGCGGGTCTGCCGTGGCTCTGCGGGTCTGCCATGGCTCTGAGGCTCTGCCGTGGCCTCGAGGGTCTGCCGTGGCCTCAAGGGTCTGCCGTGGCCCCGAGGGTCTGCCATGGCTCTGCAGGTCTGCTGTGCCTCCGAGGGTCTGCCGTGGCCCCGCGGGTCTGCCGTGGCCCCGAGGGTCTGCCATGGCTCTAAGGGTCTGCCGTGGCCTCGAGGGTCTGCCGTGGCCCCGCGGGTCTGCCGTGGCCCCGCGGGTCTGCCATGGCCCCGCGGGTCTGCCGTGGCTCTGAGGGTCTGCCGTGGCCCCGCAGGTCTGCTGTGGCCCCATGGGTCTGCCGTCCTGCCTCCACCCTTGGCAGGCATGCCCTCGCTGAGTAATCAGGACTGGAAAGGGTGAGGGAGTTCACAGCGTGTCCACCCTCGGAGGACAGGCCCCTGCCAGCTTTCTCACCCCCGGACACCCGTGGCCTCTGTGGTCAGACCCTCAGGGCAGTGCGGCGTGTGTGTGTGTGGCAGGAGGGAGAAAGTGGGATGTCTCCAGTGGAGCTGCCGCTCACTGTCCGGGCCCTGCTAGGCAGCCGTGGCCGTGGGGGGGACACAGGCCCGGGCAGGAGGAGGAGGCAGCGGGGCTTGGAGAATGGACACACACCCCCACTCCTTCACCTGTTCTGTGCCTCTCACCCATCCCCTCGTGGCGGAGTGAGAGCCCTCCCTCCCACGCTGGGGCCTCCATGAGGCCACAGCCCCAGTGCTCCTTGGGAAACAGAATGCTGTGCATCGTGGGGTTGCCTTTGGCCTCGCTGGTCATCCTGACTGTCCCCCTCTTCTCCTCTTACAGTTGAGTTCAGCAGCTGTTTGGGGACCAAGGGCACCCAATATGAGACCAACAGCCTGGACTTCAAGGTGGGGACGGACGGGACGGTCTTCGCCACCCGAGAGCTGCAGATCCCGTCGGAGCAGGTGGCGTTCACGGTGACAGCACGGGACCGCCAGACAGCCGAGCAGTGGGACGCCCTTGTGCGGCTGCTGGTGGCCCAGACCGCGGCCCCGCACTCTGGACACAGGGTAAGACCCGCACCCGGACCCCGGGGGCCCCTCCTCCCGAGGGTCCTGGGGGCGGCTCCCCGCTGGGCACTGAGGGCCACGCTGTCAGCAGCCTGGCCTCGCCCTTCCTGACACAGCGCTGTCACGGTGGGCGCAGGCCCCGGGCTCGGTCTGCCTCGCTGTGCCGCCATCTTCACCATCTTCAGCATCGTTTGTGTGCGCCCCGCGCTGGGTCTGCGGGTGGACAGGAGGGACAGCTGGTGTCCCCCGCTCCTCAGCACTCTGATCCTGCTTTGCGGGCCACCCAGGGCCAGGCCTAGCAGTGTGCGTACTATGAGACCTCGCCGTCCGTGTCTGTCAGGAGCCAGCAGGGCCTGTCCACCCCTGCCCTGCCTGGAGTCTCTGCAGCTGCATTGCCCTCGTGGCCTGGGATGGGGAGGGGAGGGGGGCTCGCTGAAGGGCAGCCTGGGGAGCCTCGGCATGGGGAACATGAAGTGTCCGTGCCCACAGTAATGGGAGGGAGGGGGGGACTCAAGGCCCACGTGGCAGTCACTGCCACCGTGTATGGTCAGAGCACAGAGCAAGAGGCCTGGCTGCACGTGTGGGTGTCCTTGGAAAGGCGTCGGGCTGGGAAGGTGGACAGAGTGGGACTGGGGCTGTGGCATGGGTTCTATCCTGGACCCACCTTGACTGCAAGTTCTGTGAGGCTCCAATGGGAAATCATCTACAAGTGTTCCCAAACCTGTCTCACCAAGGAACCCTTCTCCAGGGAACAGCTTGCAACACAAGTGCCGAGGATTCCACCTTGGGAAACCCCCAGTCTGGTCTTCTGTCCTGAATTCAAGTGAAGGTGGGTTGGGTCAGATGAGAAGCAGGAACGCAGGCCAGGAGAACAGTATGCGCCCACTGGGAAGGAGGGCGTGAGCGGTCTCATGCAGAGAACCCGGGTCTAAACTCCTCTCTAGCTGTGAGGCCCCCCCACCATCGAGAGCCCCCCACAGATGCTACAGACTCTAAGTCAGGTGGCATTGCTCACTCTTTCCTGTGCAACAGCTAAAAGCCACACCCCAGTGAAGCCTGTGTGCAGCCGGCTCAGACATCCAGTGGGAGGTGGAGCCAGGGAGCTGCAGGGTAGGACTTGGCTCCTGCCCACCCCGTGGCTTCCTGAGCCAACCTGCCCCAAGCCCCTGATGGTGAGGCTGAAACTCTGCACCTTGTGAGCAGAAAGCAGACTCTGGGCGGCATGTGGAAGGCCTCAGATAAAAGGCACTAATTGAAAATATAATGATGCCTTTTGTTAGGTGCTAATGAAGCAATTTCTGATGCAATTAATCCCTGCTCCTCCACAGAAGGTGCAGACAGTGGTGATGATTGCAATTAGGCTGTCTGCAGTTGGGGTGTACCCTCCTCTCCCCCACCACACATGCACACACGCTGCAGACACACACAGTCAGGGACACACACATGCACATGTGTGTGAACACAGGCACACACTCACACACACATACCTGTACACAGAGTAGGCTGGCCTGGAAAGCGCCAACCTGCAAAAACAGGAGACACGGGCTGGGAAAGTGACTCCGTGGTAGAGCGCTTGCCTTGCATGCATGAGGCCCTGGGTTCGATTCCTCAGCACCACATAAGCAAAAAAAGAAAAAAGCCAGAAGTGGTGCTGTGGCTCAAGTGGTAGAGCTCTAGCCTTGAGTTGAAGAGCTGAGGGACAGCGCCCAGGCCCAGACTTCAGGCCCCACGACCCGACCCAAAAAAAAAAAAACAAACCAGGAGACCAGGGCAGGGCTCAGGCCTCTGTGAGCCTGTCTCCCCCGTGGCATGGAGGAGCTGGGAGGTCTCTGCCCCCTCCCACCAGTCCTGCACTGTGTTTCACATCTCTCTTGTGGCTGGCAGGCCTCCATTGCTCTCGTACCCCACAGACCCCACCCACATCCCCAGAGTACGGCCCCTGGGCCCCACCTCAGACCAGGGAGCTGAGCAGTGCGGCCTGGCCCCCGTCCTGGAGAGAACTCCTATTCAGAAAAGAGGAAAAAGTGGCTTTCTGAGCCCCGCCACCCCACATTGGAGTTCCAATCTGGGCTTCTACATCCTCCTAGCTGGGTGTTTTGCAACAGTCCACACACCTCTGATGGGCTGTCCTGGAACAGGGAAGAGTTCTACACCTGGCTTCCGGTTGCCGGGACTACTGGGATGCTGTACCAAACTGCATCTCGAGGTTCCCTGGGTGGAGGAGTCCCAGAGAGAATCTCCCATTGCGGCCATGGACATGGCCCCCTCAGGCACGGGCCCCACCCACACAGTCCCTGGGGGAGAGAGAATGGGAGACGATTGGAACCTAACCACCGGCTCTCTGTGAGACTCTGGGGCCCTCGACTGGTTTGACCTTGGCCGAATCGATGCCGCTTTGCGATAACATCACTGCCTGTTAGGGAATACACATCTGCAGATTCGGGATGATTGAAGAGAAAACTGGTGCAGTAAAGGATCTCAGGAGAAATAGGCTAAGTCTGCAGAGGAGGAACACACCGCAGGAGGGACATGGGCAGTGAAGAAGGACTGGAAGGCATCAGCCTTGAGTATGAGAGGAAGAAAGAGAAAGGAAATGGAGGAATGGTTGCAAAGCACTAGCAGAAAAATACTCCAAAAGCAGCAGCAGATTCCGAACACCCTAACACTCCAGGCGGGACAAACAGAACTGAAATTGCACTTGGACTCTTTGTGGGAAAATAGCTCAAGTCCAAAGTCAAAGAGAAAAATCTCTAACACAGCAGGAGGAAAGACAGGGTTTCCTGGAGCAGCGAGAGGCTGTGGCCAGGCTTCTCGGCACAAGCGGGGGCTGGAAGACAGCAGAAATACGGCTCAATTATCCAGGAGACCTCTCCTCCCAGAAGCCACCTTGAATCAAGGCGTTTTCCACAAATCGCAGCTGAAGAATCTGCCCCGCTCTGTTCTCGGGTCACAAGCTGAGCTGAAGGGAAATGTCAGAAATGAAGGAAGACTGAAGAGCGTGAACAGGGGCACAGAGAAGTGTGCGTGCGTCAGGCAGCGTGAGATTTCCTGGGGTGTGCACGGATAGCTCCCACATTCACGCCAGGAAGAACCGGAGCGGGAGGAGCTGAGGAGGAGGCTCCACATCCCTTACCCAGAATACCTCGGGTGGCAGAATCTGTAATGAGGTGCCATGGGGCTGGAAGCATGTCTAAAAACAAAAGCACACCTTGTATACGTGGTACAAAGGGCACTTTATGTGATTTGTTCAACTATAACCCCTAGGGTTGGGTGTGGGACTTCCCCTGTGTGTGTATGTGCACACATGCATGCTCGTGTGTGTGCGTGTGCGCGTGTGCACACAAGCATGCCAATCCTGGAGCTTGAACTCAGGGCCTGGGTGTTGTCTCTGAGGTTGTTTTATTTATTCAAGACTAGCACTCTACCACTTGAGCCACAGCTCCACTTTCAGCTTTTTTGTGATTAATTAGAAAAAAGAGTCTCCAGGGCTCTTCTACCCAGGCTGACTTCAAATGGTGATCCTCAGATCTCAGATCCTCCCATCAGCAAAGAGTATAGATCTGAGCTACAAGCACCCTGTAGAACTTCCTAATGTTGATGTCGTAGTGTAACTCAAAAAAGCTTTAGATTTGGAAGGTTCTCAGACTTTAGACGTTTAAAGTGTGTCGCAATAATGTATAAGCATTTGTTATAAAGTCTTTGAAAAATCACTGATCCATAGTATTAACCAGGCACCAGCGTCTCACATCCACCATCCTAGCTACTCAGGAGGCTGAGATGTAGAGGGTGACAAGTTGAGGCCAGCTCAGGGTAGAAAAGTCCATGAAACTCCAGTTCCAAAATAACCAGCAAAAAGCAGGGCTGGAGAAGTAGCTCAAGTGGTAGAACATCAGTTAAGTAAGCAAGCCAATAGCAAGTATGAGGCCCTGAGTTCAATCCCTAGTCCAAGGAAGAAGAAGGAGGAGGAGGAGGAGGAGGAGGGGAGAGAAGAGGAGGAGGACGGGGAGGAGGAGGAGGAAATGAAAGGAGAGGAAGGAGGAGGAGGAGAAGCAGCTGCTGCTCTTGTCTGGTGTGGTAGCACATGCCTATAATCTCAACTCTTGCAGGCTGAGGCAGAAGGATCCTGAATTCAAAACCAGCCTGGTCTAAACTACCTAGTAAGATCTTATCTCAAAGAAAAGGCCCTTGGAGTAAATGACAATTTTATTACAGTCATTTCTGTTCTCAGTAGACAAAAGTGATCCTGGAAAGCCGCAGCATCACGAATGCAGCTGGCACAGCAGACCAACAGGAGACCCGCCCTGAGCAGTGTCAGCGTGAGGAGCCGGGAGGTCCTTGGACGGGCAAAGCAACAGGTCTTCACACTAAGGACTCAATTTTAAACAGACGAAGGGCCAAGGACTGGCTAAGCCATTTAAGAAAGCGAGGCCTGGCTGGGTGCTGAAACCTGCCAAGCCGGGCAGGAAATCAACTACTGAAACCAGAAGTGGAGCTGTGGTTCCAAGTGGTCGAGCACCAGCCTTGAGCAGAAAAGCTCAGGACAATGCTCAGGCTCTGAGTTCAAGCCCCAGACTGACAAAGAAAGAAAGAAAGGAAAGAGGGAGGAAGGAAGGGAGAGAGAGAAGAAAGGAAGGGAGGAAAGAAGGAAAGATAGGGAGGGAAGGAAGGGAGGGAGGGAGGGAGGGAGGGAGGGAGGCAGGGAGGGAGGGAGGCAGGGTGGGAGGGAGGGAGGGAAGGTCTTTCTAGCTAGGTACCAGCGACTCAGTCAGTAATCCTAGCTATTCAGGAGGCTCAGACCCCGGAGGATCTGGGTCAGACTCTTACCTCAAATTAACCAGCAAAAAGCCAGAAATAGAGCTATGGTTCCAGTGGTAGAGCACCAGCTGTACACCAGCAGGCAAGCAAGCAAAGGGCTCTGAGTTCAGCCCTATTACCACCAAAAACACCACATGAATGACAGTCAGGAGAGGGCTGGCAGCAGCCAAAGGAAAACATCCCCTATAGACAAGGACAGACTAAAGGCCACTGCACAAGAAGCACTAACGCAGCAGTGGTACTCACCAGACACTATGTTGGAAATGAACCATAATTTGTGGGGGAGGGGGGCCAGGAGGGAAAAACGGGGAGAAAATGAAGGAAGAGGTGACACTGTTCAAAAAGCAATGCGTTCATGACTTGACTTCTGTAAGTGTAAGCCCTCTGTACATCACCTTTACAATATAAATAATAAAAACAGAAGTAGGACACCGACATTCACTGCTGCCAACTAGCCCTGATTTTTGAGTACACACAGACGAATTTCAAATTTTAACCAGGACTCCACAGTCTTCAATGACTTAAAAGAAAACCAGAATTTGTTTTCTTACCTGCCCTTGAGCCAGAAATCAATAACTAAGAGGATAATTCCATAGATACCGAAGCCAAGTAAAAGTCTCCCCTCAACCTTAGGTGGAGAAGAAGTCGCAAGAAGGTTGGGGATATTTGGAACTGAGTGAAGAAACTGACACACAGCGAAAGCCACGGAAATGGTGCCACTGCGTGCACGCACGAGAAGCCCGGAAGAGGACTCAGCCCTCTGCACACGCAAGCACTTAGGAGAAGTGAGGGAAACGAGCCCAAACACAGACACGAGAGAAAGCAGGCAGCACAGTACAAGGCAGCAGCCAGGCGCCGGTGGCTCAGGCTTGTCCCGCCTTCAGGAGGCTGAGATCGGAGGACGGCAGTTCAAAGCCAGCCCAGGCATGGAAGGTCCGTGAGACTCATAGCTCTGATAAACTACTCAGAAAAATCTAGAGGTGGCACTGTGGCTCGAGCGGTAGAGCGCTAGCCTTGAGCCAAAGAAGCTCAGACATGGCACCCAGGCCCAGAGTTCAAGCCCCAGGACTGGCAAGAAAAAAAGGGGGGACACCATCAGTGGTAAGTTGATTCTGTCAATGACTAAATCGGTCAGGTTGAGCAGGGAAAAGATATTAACTTGGAAATAATTCATTTCATGAGGAAAAGAGGGCCCCCTGAGCAGCCTGTGACCATTAGGAAAATGACTTGGAAAAATTAAAATATACGTGGCTGTGGCTAATGGCCTACACATATCCAACTTACCCTAACTCACCTGGGAAGAAAAGTTGAACTGTTGTGGCTCAAAGAAGGAAAATTGAAGTTTAAATCTATAGCATAAGGAATACATCCCTTTGGCTCTCCTAGTAAGGGCCGCCTAGGTTGTTGGGAGCAATTCAAATGAATCCCACGCAACTTGTCGACAGCGCACAAGTCTTATCTCAAACTTTCATAGGCCTTGTGTCTTCAGCAAGAACTTCACCCAAAATGAAGAGGCGGCATGTCTGAAACTCTACAGGAGTTATTACAGCTGGAACCTCACTCCTGCTGACAAAAGCCAGGTCCAGACTAGGATAACTCTACCCACAGCAGAAACAAAAATCACAACTGAAAGGTGATTATAAGTCAGTCTTTCCCATAGGTGGAGGCAAAATAAGCAAAACACAGCCCCGGGGTCATCCATCCTCCTGAAAGATGGGGAAAGGTGCCTTGTCCCTGGCCTTGATAGCTCACCCTTAGGCGCAAAGCCCCACAGCACACCCCAAAACCAACTCTGGGTGGGTTCAGAACCTATAAGCAGAAGACAAGCAA